TGAGTTCTGGTTGCGCGAGGTGCAGTTTCTTGGTCATCTCGTCAACCAGAAGGGTATTTTGGTAGATCCGGCCAAGATTGAGGCCGTGATGCAGTGGGAGGTCCCGAGGTCTCCATCTGAGATTCGGAGCTTCCTGGGGTTGGCAGGGTATTATCGGAGATTTATTCAGGACTTCTCCAAGATAGCAGTGCCGCTCACCCGCTAACCAAGAAGTCGGTGGTTTTTCGTTGGGGGCCTGAGCAGCAGGCGGCGTTCGAGACTCTCAGGCAGAGATTGTGCGAGGCTCCGATCCTTACCTTGCCAGAAGGAGTAGAGGATTTCGTAGTCTATTGTGATGCATCGATCACAGGTATGGGAGCAGTATTGATGCAGCGAGGCCATGTAGTAGCTTATGCCTCGAGACAGTTGAAGCCTCACGAGGCTAATTATCCTACCCACGATTTGGAGCTGGGGGCAGTTGTGTTTGCCCTCAAGATTTGGAGACATTACCCTTATGGGGTCCGCTGTACAATTTACACGGATCACAAGAGTTTGCGATATCTTATGAATCAGCCGAGTTTGAACATGAGACAGAGGAGATGGTTAGACGTGCTGAAGGACTATGACTGTGAGATCCTTTATCATCTAGGGAAGGCCAATGTGGTGGCCGACGCCCTGAGCCGCAAGGTGTCGACGGCCCCTATCAGAGATCTGTGTATGAGGATGACAGTGATCACTCCATTGTTGGAGCGGATCAAGGAGGCTCAGATGGAGGGCCTCAAGGAGGAGAGGCAGAAGTGTGAGATGATAGTGGGCCGAGTAGCTTCATTTGGTTACGACAGTCGGGATTTGTTGACGCTTCATGGTAGGATATGGGTACCGTACTGGGGTGGGGTACGGCAAGTATTGATGGACGAGGCTCATAAGTCTCGATTTTCTATCCACCCAGGAGCGACGAAGATGTATCGAGATCTTCGATCTGATTATTGGTGGCCCTGCATGAAGCGAGATGTCGCTTGGTATGTGGAGAGATGTTTGACCTGTCGGAAGGTCAAGGCGGAGCACCAGAGACCTCACGGCAAGATGCAGCCGTTAGACATTCCCGTGTGGAAATGGGAGGACATCACCATGGATTTTGTCACCAAACTCCCCAGGACCGCACGCGGGGTGGACTCGATATGGGTAGTAGTGGATCGGTTGACGAAGAGTGCCCATTTTATTCCGATTCAGGAGAGTATATCGGCGGAAAAGTTAGCCGATATCTATGTGCGAGAGATTGTGGCACGTCATGGAGTGCCGGTATCGGTGGTGTCGGACCGAGATGTTCGTTTCACGTCCAGATTCTGGAAGCGGTTCCACGACGAGATGGGTACTCGTCTCCATTTCAGCACCGCTTTTCATCCTCAGACTGACGGGCAGAGCGAGAGGATGATTCAGACTCTCGAGGACATGCTTAGGGCATGTGTTCTAGATTTTGGGGGCAGTTGGGATACGTATCTTCCGTTAGCAGAATTCTCGTATAACAACAGTTATCATGCGAGTATTGATCGACCTCCTTTTGAGATGTTATATGGCAGGAAGTGCAGGACCCCGATTTGTTGGGGCGAGGTCGGTCAGCGAGTTATAGGGACCCCGAATTGTAACGACCCGTTCCCGGTATGTTGATTTATTGGTAATTATAGTGAGTTTTTCAAGAGGGACTCGGCGAGTTCTAGCCTGACTCGCCGAGTAGGGTCGCGCCTGAGGGCACGCGTGAGCCGGGGACTCGACGAGTCCATATCCCTGACTCGGCGAGTCCATCTGTCTGGGTGAAACCCTAAAATCCCCGGATTGCCCACTATTTATACCACCTTATAGCCCCCATTCTCGCCTCCCTCACCCTGAGAACGCAGTGATAGAGCCTTAAACCTCCCTTGAAGAGCTTATATGTGTTTTGGTGCCATTTTGTGAAGGTGTGAAGAAGGAGAAGAAGGAAGAAGCAAGGAGAAGTGTTGTAGTGCAAAGATCCAAGGCCAAATCAGAGTTAATTGAGGTATTTTCGGAGTTCCATCTTGTTATATGCTTTAAACTTCCATTAGAGCTCTCCTAAGAGCTAGTTGATGCTTGTTCCAAGCCTTACACTTGCATGAACGTCTTATTAAGTCGATATATCTATGGATCTGAATGTTGGGGTGTTGTAGAGCCCAGATCTACTGTCTTTTTGGAGTTATATTGCATGATAACCATAGATCTACCCATTTTATGCATCTTTTAGCCTTATTTCTCTTATTCATGAGGTTGTGCACGTAAAGTTGGAAACTTTACGTGGTAAATCAGCTTATTGGACTCAGATCTATCAATTGTATGCATTGGATTCAAATAAAATCGAGTAAAAATCTGTTGCATGGCGGCAACTCGGCGAGTCGGAAGAACGACTCGACGAGTTGGGTCGCGAGTCCCGAGTTCTTCAGTTTTATCAGTGTCGAGTGGACGAGGTGAGTTAGAGAGTGGACTCAGCGAGTTGAGGGTGAACTCAGTGATGGAGGGACTCGGCGAGTTGTTCATCAACTCGGCGAGTCCAAGGCAATCTTCTTGGGATCAAGAACAACTCGTCGAGTCTGTTCATACGACTCGGCGAGTCGGATGAAGATTGTCTGAGTTCTTGGATCAAGAGGGTACTCGTCGAGTCAATGCCAGACTCAACGAGTAGCAGTGAGTAAAAAGGAAAAGTGAGAGTAGGACTCGGCGAGTTGGGTGGCCCAACTCGGCGAGTCAGCCCAAAGGAGAGTTGACTTTGACCAAGGGTAAAAGAGTCATTTTACCCCAAGCGCAGTGTTTAGTATTTGATTGAGTGTGTTTATGGACTTGTAGCCGAGGAGATTCAGGAGCAGCCGCCGTTAGCTTTTCGAGCCACACACTCAGCAGCCAGCTTACGAGGTGAGTTTCCTTCCAGTAGGAACGGGTCTAAGGCCACAATGCCGGCCCGTTCAGTTAGCAGCAGTTTCCGGATTTAGGTCCGATGCAGTAGTTGGTATGTTCGATGCCTTCGTGGTTCGAACAGGATTTGTGTGCTATGTTTTATGTGTTAAGTATTATGTGTTCCGGGCCACGGCCCGATGTAGCATGTCGTCTATGTGTTATGCTATACCATGTTCAGTCAGACAGTTCCGGACTTCGGTCCGATGCAGTTAGTTCCGGACTTCGGTCCGATGCAGGGGACAAGGTCCCAGTTAGTTCCGGACTTCGGTTCGATGCAGTTAGTTCCGGACTTCGGTCCGATGCAGGGGACAAGGTCCCAGTCAGTTCCGGACTTCGGTCCGATGCAGTTTCCGGGCTTCGGCCCGATGCAGTGGGCAAGGCCCAATATGTGTTTATATGTTATTATATGGTATGTGGTAGTTTGGGGGAGCTCACTAAGCTTCGTGCTTACAGTTTCAGTTTTGGTTTCAGGTACTTCCACAAGCAAAGGGAAGAGCTCGAGGTGACAGCATCGCACACACCACAGCATAGCCTTTATCCTGGGGATGTCTCTTGATGTTTTGGATTGATGTAGTATGATACAGTTTTCCGCACAATATTTTATTATGTTTTGGGGATACATCGCGTATGTTTTATGTTATGATACTTATATTATGGTTTTGATTACATGGAAAAACGAAAATTTTTGGGTCGTGTTTTTGGGTCGTTTCAATAAACGTGTGTTGATTTTCCATGCACGTTTTCTCATGTTTTTCCACTTTGCTTGATGCAGCTTTTAAGGCAATTTGCCCCACAGTAAAATCTCCATTCCCAAGCCCACAAGAGGGGAAACCCATGTTAGATCCACGCATGCATGTTTTCCTCCATCCCATCCAAGTACTAAAACATCAGCCGGTCTAAGTGTTAATCTTCCTTCCAATGGGTCAGTCAGAAAGTTCATAGGGGCCTTTTTCTTGGCAGAAATCATAGGGCGCCTAAATATGTCGGAAAGAACATCCCTAACCAAATTGTGTCAGTACTTAAAACCCGAGAGCTCTTTACAATGAATTGCATGCTCCCCAAATGAGTCCAAGCATGCCTTGCGACAAACATGGCAAGTCTCGTCAGTTGGAAATAAAGGGATCATAAGACGATACTTGAGAAGAACACGATACTCCACTGGCGACATATGCTGGCCAAGACCATCAATAGGAAGTCATAAGAAAATCCTGAGCATGTGGAGCCCTTAGACACTCAAAAATTGATTGTTGCCTAATCGTTATGTTGAAGTGAACTTCCATGTCTTGGACAATTTTACTAAAAAGTGCACCCGCCAATGAATGTTGAGCTTTTGGAGGGGCGGTGTCCTTATTAGTGAAACCGCTGAAGTCAAAGTTCGGAATCGTATCATAAAAACAGGCCAAAGCACAAACATAATCTAAATCCATACCACATATGCCACTATTCCGTAGGATGTGGTCTTGTAGCACCTACAATTGAATAAAAAAAAATGCAAAGTGCTTTTTAAGGGAAAAAATCAAGATTTAATCTAAAAAAACAAACATAATATATAAGGTCTTTATATTATTAACCTTTTTTTATGTCAAAAAGTTTTTTTTTTATTTTCTAATGTTAGAAGTTTAGACGAAAATCATGGAAAATTGAAAACCATATTACAATTTTCTCTATTAAATATTTAGAGATGATTAGTTTGAATCAATACATATCTAAAGTTTTTAACAGTTACTTATAATTTGGGCAAATGTCATATTACCCATCAAACTTTTCGTGTTTGTTTTAAAAGGTCACCAAACTATTTTTTTTTGCACATTAAAGGAATATATTTTCATATGACCGTTTAATTACATCATTTTACCGATTGTAGAAGGTTTACCCCATATTTCTGTGACATGTGGCTCCACCGTGGACTATTACTGTTGTAATCTTGGTCCCCCAATAATTGCCAAGTCATCGTTAATGGTCCCCATTATAAATCCGTCTTACCCCACCATTTTGTTACCCTAATTCATAACCTTCACATAATACCACCGAATTCACTTTTTTCCCAGCTATAAATCAAGAAGATGGCATCAGAACAAAGCTTCTCCTATGGTGGTTTCAGAGTTTCGGGCCTAGAGATACCAACTGATTACGAACTTCACGCCGTGGAAACCCAAGTGCAGATTGAGGAAATGAAAGATGACATGCAACAACAGCTTGCCGAGTTTAGGGAGGAAATACGCTACTTGAAAAGGAAAGTGACCATGATGGGTGTTGTTGGAGTTGCAGTGATGTCGTTGATCAAGGTTCGTGTTTGCTTCGAATGCACTGGATGGGGATTTGGTGGGTGTAGTTTAGTTCGTAGCTACCACGATGGCAATTAGTGTTTTTTGGGTTATTAGGGTTGTCGAAGGATGTTCGTTTTTTTCTAATTTCTTCATCTGCTAGTATTATATATATGTATTAGGTTATCTGTTGGTGGTTGTTTTGATCAGTGGTGCCCATTTTCGATGTTATGGTTTTTAGAACCATCTTTTTTGGGGGGGTTTTCGTAACATAATAACCTCAGTTGTAATGGATGAATTAAATGAAATGTAGTTCCTATTACCTTTGTTTTTCCCTTTGCTTTACGTATGATGTGATCAATTGTAATGAAATACACCTATGGTTATGTTAATGGTTTATTGATTTTTTTATGTGTTACCACATTGTTACGTGGAAGTACATTGTTATATGAAAGTACTTTACTATGTCGAATTACCTTGGAAGTACAATTATAAAAAAAACATTCATGTTATGTTTTAAACTAAAGAAACTAACATTCATGTCGAATTACCTTGGAAGTACAACAAGACACCTTTAATAACATACTCCAAAAACACAACACATTTAATCCAAGTCCATTGGTTTGCTTGATGTATCACCTTCATCGTTTTTGCCTGCAACCTTTTCTGCCAACTTTTTCTTTAGTATCCTCTCTGACTTTTTTCTTAATTTCAATGTACCTACTTTTTTACCATTCTTCTTAGTTACACCACTTGTTGACCCACATTCACATTCTCCCTTTTTAAAACCAAATCCACTTCCAATATCACCTTCACCCTTTCCCTTTCCTTTTTACACCATTTCCCCTTTGCCCTTGACCATTCCTTTTCTTCAATGCACTGGTTTCACCTTCACCTTCAACCTTCCTCTTTTTAACCTGACTTTTTTAGGCCTTTGACACTGCATCACATGTTAACTTATTGTGGCATGATTTCTTACAAACACCACAGATGATCTTTTTCCATGCCTTGGATACTCTATGTGATCCACTATCCTCAGTATTGTCCCTCTTTCTCTTAATAGCGGGTCTCCCTGAAATCTTCCTTTTCAATGGTGGCAAAGGTGGTATGTAGTCTGTTGGGGGCCACATTGCAATCCCATTCATCCATTCTATTGAGTACTTGTAGGTGTTCATATATATGCAAGCACGATATAAAGGATCAACAAATGCCTCTACATCTCTATTTACATAACTAATGGCGGCCATTGAGTGTACACAACCATATCCATTCATTTTCCAAATCCTACAAGTACATGTTTTCTTTTCCAAATCAACACCATAAGACTCTCCTAAGTTTCTTGTTTCAAATGTATTCAGGCCACTAGGAAGCACTTGCCAATACCTATAAATAATAACAGTTAGCAGGGCTAATAAAGTACCTTTGTTTGATATTCAATTCAGTTATGGTGAATAATAAAGTACTTTTGTTATGGAAAGCCTTATGTTTGAGCATACATCAAAATGTCCCCCATCCACTTCCTTTCTACCTCAAACTGCACATCCTCTGCATCACATACAGTCTAATATCCTCTAACATTGTAATAATTGGCTTCTTCCTAGCATCCAATATAACATTGTTAAAGATTTCAGACAACCCATTCACAACTGCATCACACCCCCTTCCTATTTGAAAAAATGCTCTTCACCATGAGTTTGGATTCCTTCCCATAAGATGCACATAAGCAGCAGGGATAATCATTTGAATCTCTTTCATTGCAGAATTGAAAAGAGGTTCAGTTAAGGCCTTACAAGCCTTCCAAAATAATTTCTCATATTAATCCCCAGGGAATTTCTTCTTGAAATTGGAAAGAACATGCCTGGCACATTGCCTATGTTCCATCTCTGGAAATAAATCTTTCACTGCTTCAATTATCCCCTGCATTTACATCATCATAATATTCGAAAGTATATCACATTTGAAACAAATAAAAGCTATGACATTAAAAAGTAAAAACATACCTTATGTTGATCTGACATCAATGCCTAACCAAACCCACCTTCAAGATGCAGATCTTCTTGCAAGTTTTCTAAGAACCATTTCCAGTTGTCTTTATTTTCAACACAAATTACAGCCCAAGTTATTGGGTATATATGATTGTTACCATCCCTACCAACAGGACATAATAACTGACCAATACACATTCCTTTTAGAAAACACCCATCTAATTTTATTATCCATCTACAGCCACTTCTCCAACCCTCATTTAGTGCATGAAAACATATATAGATATCCTGCTAAAGTAAGTTTTCCCATCCGGCATAGAGTTCACAGACAACTTGACTGTTGACCCTGGATTAGACCTTTTTATCTCTTCACCATATGACCACAACTTTGCATAATTTTCCATTATGGTACCTTCAACAAGAGACATTGCATGTTGCTTAGCTCTCCTACATTGTCCCATACTAACCTTTATGCAAAATTTAGGCTTCACTTCCTCCTTTAACATCTTAACATTGAATTTCTGATTCTCAAGAACTTCCCTGGTGAAATGACTAGCAATCCATCAGTAGTTAACAATTGACCCTAACTTAAAATTTCTTGCACAATTGTGGTAAATGATAAGGGACTTGATTTGGAATGAGTGCTCCCTACTCATCCATGATACCCACAGCCTAAATGTGCATTGACCAGTACTACACTTAACCAATAAACTCTTACTGTCGTTTTTTTTAAAGTACAATTGGTACCTATTTGCTACAGCATAATTACAAATCATAAATTTTAATTGTTTAGGGTTGGTGAACCTCATACCTAGAATTGGCAACTGCTTCTTCCAAGATATGTCTTCATTAAACATCGGTTTTCTTTTCACATCTGGGACATTATCATCTTCATCATCTTTTTGATCACCTTCTGTGACCTCCTTATTTCCATTTTCCTGACTAACTCCTTCATAGGTTACTCCTTCCATGTTGCTTTGTTGTGCTCATGAAGTCAAGTTAGGTCAATACCTTCTTCCCCTTCGATTGACATGTTTGACTTCACAGAACAATTATCCTCATTTTCATTTTCATTTGCCTTAGTTACGTGTACAGTAGTACCAAAATGGTCCATGTAAACAAGAACTTGTACTCCACATTGATAAGCAATGTCTATAAATTATTGATATTAAAGTTCATTCGAAATCAAGGTTAAACCTTCTGGGATTTGTAAATCGAGTTGACAATAATAAAGTTTCTCACACTTCTCTTGTGTGAATCGTTCAAGAAAATCCACAAACTCATTATATGACATACCAGCAAAATCGATGTTCTCGAACACATGATGAACACACCTTGGAAATGAACTTTGATCGAGAGGAATAAAGCCATCGATCTTCAGTAACTATGGTGGGACGAGGGTTTTCTTCAATGAGGAGGGGTTACTTCAATGAGGGGGAGGAGATTGTATAACGCAAACGGTTTAATTTATAACAAATTAATATAAAAGTACCACACGTGGTCATTTCATTAAATGACGTGTCACCGACATTTTCCGTCGTGACATCGTGTCACCGACATTTTCCGTCGTGACATGTATATTACCTTTCAACCCGGTTAAAGGTAACATAATGTATTTTAAAACAGAGATATGAAAGTATATTCCTTTAACGTGCAAAAAAAATAATTTGGTAACCTTTTAAAACAAACACGAAAAATTTGATGGGCTAATATGACATTTGCCCCTTATAATTTTTAACAAAAAAGGAAAAAGAAAAAGAAGATGACAAAACTTGATTATCTTATCTGGTTCTCTTGAAAAAAAAAAGGAATAAAACTCAGAATTTCCGTCAAAGGGAAATGTGTAAAAAGCTTCACTTTTAGCCATGCAACATTTGACAACTGTTAAAACTCGGAAGATATAAATCAACCGTCGAGATGGACGGTTTCATCATTATACGATTTTATAAAATTTCTCTCCAAAATAAGAAGGAAAGATTTGAAGAGTTGACTAAAAATTCTGTGTTTTAAGTATATAAATAAAAACATCATCAAAGAAACCAACAATTGCAGTGCATATGATACAAAGTTTTACAACATTTTCTTAATCAACAACACAAACTTATTGGTACCAGACACTTGAAGAGTTGATTGATTTAAAAAAAAAAAAAAAAAACTTGTTTTCTTCATTTATATTCTTGAAAGTTTACATGCCCTGTTGCTTGTGCATGTTCTACAGCTTCCTGTGCATTGTTAGAATACAAGAAGAGCAAAAAGTAAAGAAAAGTTTTCATTAATTAACACAACCATTTGTTGTTTAAATGTTGGTTTTTACCTTTTGACCAATGACACCAATTTGGCAAACCCCACAACGCAAGGTGAAGTTGGCAGTGTCTGTATAACTCCTTTTCCTATAAAGTAGATGCAAAAAAAAACATCAACAACTCTTGTTCTCTTTCTAAAACAAAAAGAAGTTTTATGAATGAATCCCACAACACATGTATGTACCTTTGTTGATCTTTTACAAGATTTAGAGCAAGTGATTCGTATGATCCAATGGTCCTAGTATCTGGATTTACACTAAAAATCGTCTGATCAAACTCTTCAGGAGCTCCATCCATAGGGGACATCTATTCATTCAACATTAATATTATAAAAAATATTCATTTCCCTAAAAATACAATGTTTATACGACTATAAATAAAGTATAAACACTACTTTTTCAACAAGGAAAGTTGATCCAAATGTATCGTTTGCTCTTTTGGGTCCAGGAGTATCAATAATATGTGGATTTAATTCGCTTCTATCATTTTTCATTACGTGGGTCCCAGCCATCATCATTTCTCCCCTCCCCACATTCAGTAAGTGGGACCAACAATCACATCTTTAAAATGTTAAATACAATATATATATATATATATATATATATATATATTTTTTCATTAAGTTCTTTCTGTAACAAAAATACACCACATAAAATAGAAGAAAATTAAAACATACTTATAATTCTTTAATTTTACATATAAGATACTAATATTTAAAATTAAAATATGATACTATTATGAACCCTTAAGACAACTACTTTATGTCACGAAAATCATTTTACTTTAATCCGAAATAAATAAATAGAAAGTTAATCGTCATAAAAGACAATTTAGTAAAAACTGAAAATAGATCTTTTTTTTTTAATCAACATAAAGACAAAACCAATCTCAGTTAGTAAGATTTATTAATTTACTGCCATTTACAAGGTATAACAAGTACCAAGTAACAGAAAACTATTAAATGAAAAAGATTATATTTTGAGTTTGCGAATCCTCAATCATAACTGTATGACATTTTTGGTATATTCAGCCACACATGGCAAATCGTGTTTAAGACATTTCGTGTGTTTGTAACTTTTGTGGATTAAAAATACATAACTGTTTATTATTATAGACATAGTTAGAAAGAAAAAAAAAAATCTAAAAGAAGGGATGATGAAGGGTAGGGAAATGTGTGGCTGAATGGATTAAGTCAAGTCAAAAAAGAAATGTTATGCATAAAGAAGGTGACTAAAGAGAGAAAGTCAGGATAAATAGAGAATCGATCACATACAGCCAAAGCATCGTAGTGGAGCCCATCATATATCAACATAACTCTTTCAGGATACTTCTTTTCCTGTCAAATAATTCTTATACTTCAAAGATGGATACATCTACAGGGATTTTAAAAATGAAAAATAAAGAAAATATATATATATATATATATATATATATATATATATGATTATTTAAAAAGGTAATGCTAATCTGACCTGTCCATACAAGTCGCATCTTGATGTTTGTATATCATATGCTGCTATTTCACGTCCATAGAAATCCGCTAATATTGAAAGCTCTATCGCACCTTCATAACCATATCAAAAATCAAATCAAATTAAAATCCATAATACTGCCAAAGTAACTCCCCATTTTTCTTAACTTATAATGGAAAGAATGATGTTCAAATATATGTTTGAATACCAGCTATGATGATCATTAAATTATGTGCATTGTAACAAAGGAAGGAAATGCACATTATTAACAAAAAAAATAATGATATCATGAAATCCACATGGATTTAGTTAGGGTTATATTTCAAGCAAAGTTAGAAGGAAAAACAGCGTTTTAATCAACTTAAGACTGCAAAGTTGTGATTGTTTTTTAGAAATTGGATTCGGTATGTTATTCATTTGTGTTAGGTTTTTAGTCTATCTATCTAAATTCTAATTACGCAAAAACGGCGTTTTAATCGACTTTTAAGACTGCAAAACTGAACTGAATTGTTAGGTCTAAGTTGAAGATATTAAATCTATACTTAAAACATGTCATGATCCATGAGCAAGTTTTCTTTCACCAATAATGAATCATCTTTTGTAGAAACCTTGCATGAGTTATGGTGAAACTTACAACCCATCATAGGTTTAACATGTTGCAATAAGATCTCAAAATGTTATTTTTATGCATGAAAGATGGTATGTATATTGAATTATTCGATTCGTAATGAAAACTGTTTATTCAGAACCAGACATGACAATAAATTAACTACACATTCCATAAATATAAGCAAACATCCCATCATACCTCCCCATTTCTCTGGGTTAAGTATCCAAGAACAATATTCTTCGTTAGGTTTCCCAAGAAATGCTTCAGAATATTTTGTTGGATCACTGGATACTGCAGCAGCTATAACCTTTAAAAATACAATCCAACCACAAGATTCTTCATCAGATTTACCAATAATGTTTCTGATTTATCATCATATATGAAACAAATGAAAGAAAGGGTTGAATCTATTCTAACCTGTCTCAGTTCTGGAGCCTTCTTTTTGTCATGGTCCATCACATACCTACACATACAAACAATCAAGAATGGAGTCAAGATCAATAAAGAAACAAGAGTGAAAAATAACAAAGTGTATGTTTTTGAGCTTCACCCAACAGCGTTGAAGAGGCAACTGTTATCTGAGGGAATTACACGTCTGACTATGCTACCTTCCATCTTATCTTGTTAGTAATATGCACCTGAAGGTATCAAATATTCAAATTGTACCTGATAATTCAACATTTTGATAATCAATAAAACAGCCAAAAATCACAATCTCCAGAAACTCAAGAACTTTATTCAAGTAACAAACCATCAAACAAGAAAGAAACTCAGGCAATAAAACAAACATATGGTGTGCACAACTTTTCCTTGAACAATTTGGGAACACGATGATAAAACCCAATTTATATACTAACCCTAATCTTTCTTGACTACGATTAGAAGGGACTAAACCCGAATTTCTTTACCTTGTTGGGATAGATGAATTGCGTGTTACGAAAGAATATACTTCAGCACACGCAATTTAGGTTTTCAATCAGCATCAGTTCATGCCGTCGCGAACATTGTAAAATTGTAAAATCAACTAAAACCCATCAAAATACGACATTTAAAGACGAGGAAACACTATAAAACGATAGAAAAAGAGGGAATTCGGATCTGCGGAATTAGGGTACCTGCAATTTGCTTCAGAAGTGAAACGAACAAATAGAGCAACACGAAAAGAATCTGATGATGTATCACACCTTTAGAATTCAAGACGCGATATTAAAAGTGGTTATTAAAGTGAAAATACAGCAAATCAATATTTTCTTTCCAAGAAATACAAGAAAATTTTAAATCGTATCCTTTTGGGATTAGTGAAGGATTCGGTGAAACTGTAAAATTAGAAATGTTTTAAATTTATTTCGTCTTTAAATATGATTTTATGCCTCCGTGTCCAGAGTTCATCAGGGCATCGCCGATATACGTTACCGTTCTTTATTTATTTATTTATTTTTTTTTTAATTTTTTTTTTTTTTTATACTCTTTCATTTTTCATCTACGACTCTTCGATCTTTTAAGTTTTATCCATCTTTGAAACTAATCTTTCAACTTTTTCTTTTTTATTTTATATTTCAAATAAATAAATTAAATATAAGCCTAATATTAAAAGTTTTTATAAATAATAGAGTAACTTACCGTTTACTCCCTATGGTTGGGTTGGCTACATAGTTGGTCCCTTTGGTTGTTACTGTGAATAGCCCCCGATATCTATAGAGAAAATGACTACTTTACCCATGTTTTGTCGCATTCATATTTTGTGTTTTTATCCATTTGTGTTTTTTGTATTTTAGTTATTTTTAGATTATTCTTACACCATACACAAACTACAACAATTTTTCAAAATGGGGAGTAAAACATTAGATGAGTGCAAACCATGTGTCTATGAGTGTGGGTGTGCGTGTTGCATGTGTGTATGTGTGGGTGTATGAGATGGTATGGGTGTATGTGATATATAATATCTTTTAGTCTTAGCTAGATCATTTTAGTTGCTTTAGAGGGTCAATGTCATTTGTTGAAAGTTTTAAAAGAAAATAAATAAATTGGAGCAATCATCAAAGATGGAAACAAAATTAGAGCAAACGCGATGAGAAACAAGTAACGCTTATTGATCAAACGGTAAAGGCTCAAATCGAAACCTAATCATCGCTAATGGAAGCAACACCGAAACATGGGAAGTAAATTATTACTAAAACGAGAACGTAATCGTTCATAAAGGCATCACCATGTTATCGATATTTATTTGATCAATCAATTTATTACTAGAATTGCCTAGTGATATAGAAAGAAACAAGAGATTATTTCACTTTTAGACCGGAAAAGAGTGAGACTCGTTAGAGGGATCACTGCCCTTGCTATACAGGTTGGAACACCACCCCTAGCGACCAGGGGGTCGCTATGTTCTACTCGTCGATTCCTTGGCGAGAAGAGAGAGAAAGGGATGTCAGATGCAGGCTTCTTATCAAGTGAAGAGGGTTGGAGTGGATTGCAATTCAAATGCATTTGACTGAAATTAATTTTTCACGTGCCTTTGACCATCGAAATTAATTCTAGTTATAATTTTCACCAACTTCTTCAATTAATAAAAAAAAACATTTTTAGTTAATAAAATTAAAAATATTCAACTATAATTCAACTACTATAAATCAAACCACACACTCAACATTTCATACACACAAATATCATTACCCTTCTCACAAACACTCCCAATTAACCAAACAAAAATATCTACATCTACCAAAAAAAATGGAAAAATGCAGAAAAGTCCAACCAATTATATATGTATATGCAGAAAAACTCTTATATTATTTTTATATTCAGATAAATCATTATATTAATAGTTACCATTCGAAAAAGATCAAAATATGGGATTTTAAGAGAAATTGACAACTAAAAATCTAATGTCGCTTACATCTTTGTTTATCAATACGACATTGATTTTAGGGATAACAACAATTAGTTAATGAAATCAACCATATAGAGAATACAATCGAGTGAAAGTAATCAAAATGTATTTCGGTTTGACATGTTTTTGCATATAATCGAAGAAGTATAAGGGATATGTATATCATATCATATTTTTAGCTGATTGTTTCTATTCAAAATCTACAATTTGGTTTTATTTGAAATGTAAATAATAATATAAAGGTTTTTCTGAACATAAAAATAATATAAGGGTTTTTCTATATATATATATATATATATATATATATATATATATATATATATATATATATATATATATAATTGGTTGAGCTTTTCTGCATTTTTCCCAAAAAAAAACCTTCAAATTTTCCATTAACACCATGTTATCTACCAATACATAAAAATCAGAACTCGTATAATCTCGAGGGCAGTAATTCTCTATGTTTTACTCATTATTTATTGCTTATAAACTTGATGATTATTGTTTGCATATTTCTTTCATGATGTCTCGTTATTTTTTTAGTTGCACTAAGCTAGTTGAGATGGATATTTTCTTTTAGTTGTTTACTAGAAATAACAATTCATAATAAGAATTCATTTAACCAAGAGGTGTTGATACTCGTAATAGCAGTCTCTTAGTTTGATCACGAATCGACCATGAACAATGTGATCGTATTTTGGTATTGGGTGGGCGATTCTAAATGGGTATCGGTTAGGTTTTGTAATGGTTTTAGGAAGTCTTTTTCGGGTTTCGGGGATCTTGAACATTTCGATTGAGAAAATTCATTAAACCATGATGTGTCAGTACACATAAAATTCTCAAATGATCTTAAAGAACTAGTTTGATTACATGGTGAAATTGACATAAAAGGTTGTGAATTGTGATTCATGGCTTTCTTCTCGAATGTTCAAAACTTGCTATATTTACCTTTATTTTAATTTCGTTTTGACCAAAATTTTACGTATGATAGTTAATATCTCGATCACGCATTTAAAATTTACAAATTGATTTAATGTTGAAGAAATCATATAAATCGGTGGAAAGTTATGCTCACGATTACACATGTAAAATTTACAAATTGGTTTGATTTCGAAGAAGTCATCTTACCATTCAAAACTCGTCAATAATTTAATTATTCTACAAATACTAATCAAAACAAGGTTAGATGTTGGGAAAATAAGTTTGTAGTAACATCATCGTTGCTTAGAATAATATTCATAAAACAGTATCTAACCCTTTTAAGAAGAGTCCAATCAACCGAGGTAATGTCATATTGTCGTAACAAACATTCAATAAAGCAAGTTCCACCTTACTGTCATATCTACGACAATTTTTAAAGGTATGTTCCACCTTATAAAAAAAATGGCTCATTTAATTTTCAATATATTAACAAGACGGGTTTTCATTATTAAAATACATTTTTAAGCTGCCAAACTGAAAGAATGAAAACAAATGACGTGATTTTTTACCCATCCTATAATGTATTCAAAGCTGGTATCATTCGATTAATAGTGTTAGTATTATTACTAACATTATCTAGTGGTATAGAAAGTAACACCGGATTATTTCACTTTATAAGAATAGTGTGGACTCTTCCATCATCCTCAACCTCTGTACTTAAACCGTTTACAGCAATTTCACTTTCACTTGGAGTGTTTGACATTGAGTTGCTATTAGGTGGACAATCATTTGTGCTTCATCGTAAACTCCAAAGTATATGAATAAAAAATTGCCAACTTTTATAAAGAAAAAGTCGATAAATATTTTGATTACGTAGTTTTCCCCTCCTCATATATAGTTGTATAAACTAAAAATGGACAAAAAGAACATGTTAATTGAATCCATTTTATTACATAAACCATTGTTTGGACAAAGTTCAATAGATTCTAAAGGGATTTCATGAAAGAAACTAAACCACTGCTATGCATTCAATCTCGATCCTTGCATCTAATGGCAATGCTGCCACCTGATAAGTCGAACGTGCAGGTGCTGGTGCAGGGAAATCTGAAAAATACCATATAACAAATTTTTATTATTATTAAAAACAGTCAAAAAAGTATAATGTTTTAATCACTAGAAAATAATATTAATAAACAATCGTTAATGTTAAGATGTATGTATGGTGAGCTCACATTTAGCATAGATCTCGTTCACCTTCTTGAAGTCTTTCAGATCTGCCAACCTGCCACCAAAGTAATCATCAAAAATTAGTCTTATAAACATCCCCTTAAAGATGATGATGGATAAAAGCATGTTTACTTACATGATTGTGGTTTTAACCACGGAGGAATAGTTGGCGCCACTTGCTTTCAATATCTCTCCCATATTCTTGAGAACCTAAAAAATGGGTTGATCTGAATTATATTTACATCTCTACAGTCTATGCATTATGCAAATGGATAAATTACCTGCTCTGTTTGTTCTTCCACGGTGTCTGAGACAAACTTTCCAGTCTACACAAGTACCAAAACATAATTATGAATACACTGGAATGGATTAAACAGTTAAAAGAGAGAGAGAGAGATTAAGAAAGCATTTGCAAATTGCAAATAGTGAAAAAGAATGTGAACCTCTGGAATAAGACCAAGGACACCGGATACAAATACTGTATTGTTGGCCTTTATGGCTTGGGAATAGGGACCCAAAGCTGCTGGAGCCTTGTCCGTTTTAACAGCCTCCTTTATACCTGCATCCAAATATCCAAGGTGTTTACTCAATAGTCAATACCCATTCTTCAATCCTTGCCTCGAAAAAGTGATAGTTTAATTCAACAAACACTTTAATTCACCCTTGAACTCGAAAAAGTGACAGTATGAAGTCCAATATCATAGCGTAGTTCCTTTTCGGCAGGATGTAATTAAACTTCTAAATGGAAAACTACTTAAATTTTTCTCAATGACTCAAATGCATTGATAAACAAAAGAAATAGAGTATTTCAATCAATCAGATATCAAACATTACTCACTAGCGTCAGTAGAAACGGCCAAGCAAGCAAAGGACTTAGATCGGCGGGAGTAACACGGTATAGACGATCTCCGAA